ATTGAAAGGAGAAAGGAGAAAGAAAAATATTCTATCAACGTTAATTACGATTTGCGATGCCAGTACAGATGGCATGCATAAAATTATTTAGCTTTTTCATCCAAAGTTGAGTATAACATTGAAAAAGAACCACTACAACTCACATCAAAATAATTGTTATATACTAGAAGTTTTGATCTTAAGCTGATACTTATTAAAGTCTCCCTTGTATCGTTACTTAGAAATTTCGTGCATCTTGTTGCTAAATGCTGCACTGTCACTGAAGGCAAGATCCTCAGTTCTAGCCTGGCCTCTAATATCAACTCAGTAGAACAGAGTTAGTTATGGCCACAAAGGGCAATGGAAGATGCCATATCTCTGGTTGCCAAGTAAGTTACTGTATATGATGAGCCATATTTAGTTCCTGCTTAGTGAATCATGCTGCTTCTCTCTGGAAAACTGCTTCTTGTCCTCTGGTAAATGCGAACATCTTCTCCCCCTCAAAATAGATGGCATTTCTGCATGCATGCTTGATAATGAGCAAAATAGAGGAAGAGAAGTCCTGAGGAATATAATTTGCATTAAGACGAATATTTAATTTTCTGCTTTTTTAATCTATGGATATCAGGGCATTGGAAAGGGAGAGATTTTTCAGGCTGAGGCCAGTTCTTTATCTACATCTGCAGGAAAAAATGTGCAGAATGAAGAAATTCTACAGCTCTTGGAGGGTGAGAAACAAGCATTGGTTTGTCAGAGGTAAACACAGAGAACTTTGCAGATTGCTCTGAATCTATTTATATGCCTGATGAAGTAGTTGATTAATTGCCTTACCTGGCTATCAATCTGCCCATAATAAAATTTAAAATTTAACTGCATCATCTGATTTCTGGAGAAAGCAGCAGCGACAGCAGCAATGAAGTTCGTAAGCTAGAAAGCCTGACTCTGGGCAAAGGATTTTGGGAACCTGATTGGGATACCTCCTTTATAATACAGAATTAGATGGTAACTATTGGAATAAGAGCAAGTGTCCCTCTCCTTTCATTCTATAAAAGATTCTTGATGTGACAAGAAATTGAGAGTATAGTAGTTGGCTTGGCCCAGAAGACTCTTGCTTTCTCCAGTAAGCTGGAATCACAGGGATCAGGACTGGCAAACCAATTGCATGTTGTACTAACTGGTACAGAGGTAGTCCTCACTTACTGACCACAATTGGGACCAGCAACTTGGTCACTAAGTGCTACGGTCACTAAGTAAAAAAATCACGTGAACATGACAGACTTATGATGTCACTTCTGCTTCTATCGTTAAGCAAATTACCACAGCTCTTAAGTGAGACATCATGTGACCACAACTTGCGATTTCACTTCTACATTCTCCATTAATTCTCTTGTTGGGAGCCTCTTGTGAAGCTTACAAATGATGATCACATGACTGCGGGATGCTGTGATGGTCATAAATGGGTGCCAGTTGCGAGGCACTCGAATGGTAATCACATGACCACAGGACACTGCAACAGCTGCAAATGCAAGGATTGGTCGCAATGCTGTTCTTTTTCAACCCTTGTAACTTTGAATGGTTGCTAATCAAGGCAGTCAGTAAACAAGAACTACCTGTACCAGGTTCTTTAAAAGCCAGTTTGTAAATGTATTATGTGAATCTAAGGTGTGACCTTCTCCAGTGCAAAAAAATCAAAATTAATGACCATCTAAGAGAGGGGAGTTTGTTCCTGTACTGCCTTTGAAATGTGGGCTTAAGGGTAAGGGTTGTGAAAGGAGAACAAAGGTGTCTTGATAAACAACTTTCCAAGGATTGATTTATTATTCTGAAGAAGAGCTGAGGCAAGTTAAAAGAAAGAAAATTAAAGAATTTAAATACAATAATATTCAAGGCTAGAGATGAAGGATGAATGTGCTGACTCTATGGCCACCAAAAACAATGTGAAGACTACAGACATGATGCTGCACCTAACTATGTGGTATGCATAGCGGGCAGGGTTCCCACCAGACAGTTGAAAAGATTCCAAACAGAATTGTGTAGAGATGCATAATCTTTATGTATAAATTACAGAGCCCAGATGAAGAAGCAAAATTATGCAGTTCCAGGATCAAAATAAAGTACAGAAAATAGAGCAGTCATCTGGATCTCTATCATTCTGGGATAAGCCATCAAGTAAATGATAGCAGAGTTTATTTCCAATATGTACAACTGGACAGAGTGTCAGAGTTCCACATACACATACACTTTTGACCATTTGATTTCACTCACATTGTATCAGCAGTCCTGAATGTGAATGGGATAAATGTAGATTATTAGCAAAATGGTTTACCTATTGTTTTCTAAAACTGAATATTGGAATGATATTAAAGGAATTCTGGTCAGATAAGCAATCCATTTACATTATTACACAAAAAGTTTGTAAAATGTGACCTGGCAATTCACTGATACAAATTCCATAATCTCTAGAGTTTTATGCTCAGCTCACAAATTAATGTTCTCACAAAGGAACCACTTATTGTTAATTAAGTGGCTTAAAATGAGTAAACTATGTAAGTTATCTAAATGAGTAGTTAGAATATTTGGATTCTCTTATGCATGTAGACAAAGTTGGTTGATTCAGATACTTTTCAAGGTTTG